ATGTTTGGTTTGGCACAAGTATGGGATGTGTGTTAAAGTATATGTATTAAAGTACTAAGGGAGGTGTAGTCACTCATATCCAAATGTATCATACCCGACCCGCAGCCTACATTACAACCAATGAAAGTCCTACTTGATCTTAGACTGAATGAACTCGATTTGTAGAGTATTACACTACGGGCAAGCCTATGGTGCATCATTTGTAGCATATAAATATTATTTTTGAGAGCGAGTGAATTTTGTCTATCTTGAGTTCCTATGTTCTTAAAAATTCATTGTGTGTGGAACTAAGCTCTTTGATTGGGTGAGGGCACATGACTCATAAAAGAAAGGTAATGTTGTTGATATCCATGTCAGAGTAAGTAAGTGAATTGTGAATAAGGCATGGTATTTGTGAGTCGAATCTTGAGGCGAAGATGTCACACTTGTGGGATTAAACTGTTTTAAAAATTCTTGGTATAATGAGTTAGGATAATTGCTTAAAAAGGCCGTATCTATAAGTGTAGTTTGATTGCTCGAGGACGAGCAATGTTTAAGTGTGGGGTATTGATGTGCGGCTATAATTCCATAGTTTCGTACATTATGTGCCTTGCATTTTACATGCTTTAATGATAAATTATACTTTATTTGTGCATAATGGAGTCTATTTTATGTGTAGGTGAATTGAAGATTAAAGTAGAGCAAAAGGATACTTAAACGTTGAAAGTGTGCTCGAGAACAGTGAAAAAGAGAGACCAGGCTTTAGCATGGCGAGGCCAGCCTAAGGCCAGCCTGGACCAGGCTTTAGCCTGGCAAGGCCAGCCAGATTCCAGGCGTTAGGTTGGCGACGCCAGGTCTAATATGAGTTTTGAAGACTTAATTCATTCCGGGTTTGACTAGGACCCGGCCCACACGTTTAGGGTTTCTTCTACACATATAAATAGACCTAAAACACCACTTGGAGACCAGTTTTTGGAGGAGCCAAAACGTTTTTGGGCAGCTAGAGGCAAGAAGAGCTTGTGGAATCACTCCTTGGAGTTAGAAATATCATTTTTACATCTTTTCATCTTTACTCTCTATTTTAATTATGCAAAATATTTGGGATATTGTTACTATGAGTATGAGTAGCTAACTTTCTAATCTAGGGTTTTGATGGAACCTATTGAAGGATGATTTTCTTGTTATGTTAATATAGATTTGCTGTAGTATTTTCTCTATTTGTTCAACTATATTATTCTTGTGGTTGATTGAAGGGCTCTCAATTAGCTGTGCCTATTTAGTATATATTACTCGGGAGAGAATGCATATTTAGGTAGTTGTTGAACAATATCACTCCTAAACGTATATGAGGGATCAATACGGAGGTTTAAAGGTGGATTTAGGGATAACAAAACCTTGGTGCGATCTGAGTGAGCTGTGCTTAATGCTAGCTAGCGTAATTCGGGAGAATATGTCTAGTAAATTGTGATAATTACTCGGGAGAGAGTTACGACAGTTAGAGTGCTCATGGTCGATAGAGAAGATATAGGCAAATTTGTAGAAAACGTAGCGGAAAAGATTCCGACAATTGGGGAAATCATAACTCTAGACCTCCTTAGTCTTGTCTAGAATTCCATCCATGTTGGTTGATAATTTTATTGCTTTATAATATTTGCTAGTTAATTAGTAGAAATAAAAATCAAATCTTTATAACTAGAAAATTATTTGAACTTGTGTTTCTTTGCTATATTGAACAGTTGTAGCTAAGCCTTAGTTCTCTGTGGGATTCGACTCCGGACTTGTAAACCGGATTATATTTGCAACGACCGCTTAGTCCTTTTTATAAGGCATAGTTGGGCGTGATCATTTCTCACTCAAACAACACAACCAACACAAGATTAACCTTAGGCACAATCAAGAAGATGTTATACATACCTTGGAAAGCAGCTGCAACTCGAAACCCTGTCTCAACTTAGCTCACAATAGCCCTCAATCACAGCACAACATCATAGAAGCATTCTTTTGTAGTCTTTAACATCTTTGATAATGATTTGAGTTGATTTCCCTTGAGTTTTGTTCTTGGGATCTTGGGATATGTTAGGGAGGGTTTTGGAGAGTTGTTGGACAAAATTTGGGTGAGAAACGACCCAAATGAGGCTGAAAAATATTTTAAAAGACGTTAGGTAGGTGGTCGTCTTAAGTGGGTCCCAACCGAGGTGCTTGCGCAGTCTCGCGAAAACGTGAATATCTCTATAAGAACAGTTTAATGCGTTCAATTTGATATATAATATGTCCCAAAAAGACCCCATACAACACATGAAATGTATTGCTAGTCGGTGTTTCCGCAACTTTAATCCGATTTTTTTCAAACTTTATATTTTCTATCCAAATATCATATATAGACATATTATGACTTTAAACTCATTGAAATAATGATTAACAAGTCTCATATTCATTACGTCACCTTGGGACGCACAGGGTGTAACAGAATATCTCTTGTTGTCTACCATGCAAAAGAAAGAGACCTAATTATCCTTAATTTATTTCACACTTTGTTTTACTTTGCGTATATCTTTTAGTGATCATAAACCTGAAGCCGTCAAATTAAAATTTTCTAACACTTGAATTCATATGATTGTTGTTCATAGATAAAACAAGTAGTAAGGAATTATAATGTTGAGTCAAAATAGTTTATTGAAAGATGCATGCCACATGCTTCTGAATACCTAAGCAATGCACTAGCAACTACCACTTATTATTTTCTTGCGTCAACATCGTATTTGGGCATAAAGTCTGCTATACATGGAGAAGAATTTTGAGTGGTAATCAAAGAATCCTAAAATTCTTAAAGCTAGTGTGATTATATGTCGAGTTATTGATGATATAAATTACAACACGAATTGAGTGTTGCATGAGAGATTATAGTGTATCAATAAAAGAGGCAATGGATAAATTTCAAGAAATGGCTGAGGCGACATGGAAGGATCTTAAAGAAGGAATTCTTAGGCTCACTCATGTCGCTACCGAGTTTTCATCTCATATTCTCAATCTTACTCATATTAAAACAATTTAGATGGATATACTCATCCAAAGAAAGTCGAAAAACCTCATATTATTGTCCTACTTGTGGACTCCATCAAAATTTCTGCTGCCAATTGTTGCACATCTTAAGGAGACCTGGTTCCTTTGTTGAGAAAGTAAGTACATATATATATATATATATATATATATATATATATATATATATATATATATATATATATATATATATATATATATATATATATGTGTGTGT